CAGCACAAACCACGCACTCACACTGTTTCAGGGGTGCATCTGGCCCTCCCCAAGGAGTCTTTGGTGTAGAGAACACTGATAAAACCAAAACCAAATCACTGTTGTCAAGTCAGTTCCAACTCTTGGCCACATGGCATGTGTCAGAGTAGAACTGTGCTCTGTAGGGTTTTCAATGGCTGTGATCTTTCAGAAGTAGATTGCCAGGCCTTTCTTCTGAGCCACTCTTAGATGGATTCAAACCCCTAACCTTTTGGTTAATAGCCAAGCACTTAACCATCTGCATCACCCAGGGACTCCAATATGCCACCCTAATTTTAAGTAACACCTTTGCAGGTGTTGGCCAGCTCTGCCTAAAGAATCGTCAAAGCTAAATGAATTGTAATTCAGTTTTTCTTAATATGCTTTATCTTGTAGAGTAGTTTTAGGTTTACAGAAAGATTGTACAGAAAGTTCAGAGTTTCCATATCCTCCCTCCCCCTGCACAGTTTCTCCGATTAGTGTGGTGCATTTGCTACAGATGATGAGCCAATATGGAGACATTATGACTAATGAAAGTCCATAGTCTACATCAGGGTTCGCTGTCTGTGTTGTTACAGTCCTGTGGGTTTTAAGAAATGCGTAATGCCATGTGCCACCATTATAGTATCATATGCAATAGTTTCGCCGCCCTTAACATGCCTGTGCTCCACATGCATACTGTATGACCTTCTGGAAAAGGCAAAACTATAGTGGTTGCCTGGGATAAGGGAGGGGGAGGGAGGGAGAGGGAAAGCAACGCTTTATTTATTTTTTTTAAACAAACAAATTATGTACTTAGCTAAGGAGGTTGAACGTATTACAAAACCTTATAAATAACCCATTAGATGTCCCATTGCAGAAGGGGTATGGAACACTAGTAAGCTGTTTGTCCCTTCTCTTTTTCTGCATTGGGTTTTAAAAAATGCTGTTTCATTTATTACAAAAGAGTTCAATGACTACATGACATGACCGGATAGACAGAGGCTCCACTGCCACCAACTCATGGTGCCGCCGTGTGGGTCAGAACAGAACTGCTCCACAGAGTTTCCAATGGCTGGTTTTTCAGAAGTAGATCAGCAGGCCTTTCTTCCCAGGCACCTCTGGGCGGACTCGAACCTCCACCCTTTTGGCTAGCAGCCGAGCGTGTTAACCATTTGCACCACCCAGGGATTCCAGAGAGAGAGAGAGTAAGCAGGAGGAGAACATTTCGGGCGAGATTCATAACTTGGCAGAGAGAGGAGAGAAGGAATTGAGTGGAGAACAGATGGGAAAGCAGAAAGCGTCAGGTAGGGAAGGAAGGCTGTCCTGAGTCTCCTCTTGGCTGCGAGCTTAAATTTTTCACTCAAAACGCCGATGCAGAGGGTGGCTTCTGGCTCCCCTTCCCTGCCCACATGGGCACTTTTCATTGTAGGGCTGGGAGAGCAGGATTTGCCAGCCCGTGTGGTTGTGCTGTAGCTGCAAACTGAACCCTGACAACTGGGTCCCCCACCTTCCACCCTTGAAACCCCTAGAAGGGGCTCGCAGCACCCTCAGCCCCGGCGGAGGCCGAGAAGTTGGAGTGGAAACACTGGATCCTGGAGGGCATCGTATAGGGCTGCGTGTCCTCTGTGTGCTCAGAGCCTGTCATTGGAAATGAATAAATAAACTAATAAAGTAAGAGTTTTCTGCAGCATTGTGGTGGGGTCGGCTTTCAGCATGGAGGTCAGGGGCCCATTGTGGGCTGCCCCAGGGAGCCTCTTGAACCTCTCCTCTCAACCTCTCTCTTCTCAGTGCTCAGTGACCTGTGGAAAGGGCTACAAACAAAGGCTGGTCTCGTGCAGTGAGATTTACACCGGCAAGGAAAATTACGAGTATGGCTACCAAGCCACGGTCAACTGCCCGGGCACACAGCCCCCCAGCGTCCACCCCTGCTACCTGAGGGAGTGTCCTGTCTCGGCCACCTGGAGGGTCGGCAACTGGGGGAGCGTAAGTAGACTCTGGAGGCCTCAAATCAGAAAGTCCTGGGATTCCAAACGGCATCCAAACACAGGCTGCCTGACCTGCTGTCCTCAGTAACCCTGCTTCTGCAGGAGACCCTGCGAGAAATAGGAGCTGGTGCTTTGAAACGGCCGACGGGAGAGGAAGGGGCATCTCCTGTCAGGCAGCTGGGCTGGTGCTTAGAGCAAGGGCCCTGAAGCCCCACAGCCTGACCCTGGGTCCTGGTTCTGCCACTTCGCAGAAAGCTGCATAACTTTTGTGGCTCAGTTTCCTCATCTGTAAAATGACTAGTTGTGAAGATTAAATGGGTTAATAATACAGTGAAGCCTGTGACAGCCAGAACTCGGGGCGACCGCCTTGTCTTTCCGGATCTTGCAGGTTTTTTGCCTTTGACAGGTTGCAGTCTCACCGCTCCTCGATTGCTTTCTGTTAGCGGAAAATATCGATGATTTCCTTCTCCGACAGGTTTCCACGTGGCCCAGGTTCTGGCTTTCGCAGGTTTACTGCATAAAAAGCACGTAGAACTCCAGCTGGCACACGAGCGTTACAGAAGTGTTAGCTGTTGCTGCTGTTGGGAAGTCTATACATTCCAGTCCTTCCGTATCAGGAATACATCCCTGCGTGAGGGCACAGTGAGGCAGGACGTTTCATATTACGACTGTCCTGGAAAATTGCCTCATTCCTGGCTCAGGGCTAGTGATGCTGTCAGTCTTGAAAAGGGATCAGGCTAAGTGTGTGACCTGCTCAAAGGGGTTCAGGTTTGATCCTGGCTCCACCATGACCGCAAATTACTTAACATCTGAGCCCCAGTGTCTCATCTGTAAAAATAGGATAATGTTGATTCTGTCTCATAGGGTTATTATGAGGTTTACATGAAAGATATGTACATATTTACATATATATACAGATGTATGTGTATGTGTATAAAACCAAAACCAAACCCGTTGCCGTTGAGTCGATTCTGACTCATACTGACCATATAGGACAGAATAGAACTGCCCCACAGGGTTTCCAAGGAGCAGCTCGTGGATTTGAACTGCCGTCCTGTTGGCTAGCAGCTATAGCTCTCAGCCACTGCACAACCAGGGCTCTGTGTCTGTGTGAACACGTGTATATAAAGCTTAGCACAGAGGCTGGTACGTGCTGAGTGCTCAATAACTGTCAGCTATGTGCTTTAGCAACATAAAGTCCAAACTCACAGCGTGTGCATGGAATGGTGGCTCTGGCCCCTCACCCCTGGAAGGCCAAGCCCCAGGCTGGCTGACCACGGCAGCGCCTCAGGCCGGCTGACCACGGCAGAGCCTCAGGCCGGGTGACCACGGCAGAGCTCAGGCCGGGTGACCACGGCAGCGCCCAGGCCGGGTGACCACGGCAGCGCCTCAGGCCGGGTGACCACGGCAGCGCCTCAGGCCGGGTGACCACGGCAGAGTCTCAGGCCGGGTGACCACGGCAG